TGCACTCCTCGTTGCAGGTTCTCACGGTCTGTTACGATGGCAAAACAAAGGTGTTGCTGAAGGGAATTAATTCAATGATCTGGGCCTACTCGATGGGTTTCGACCTCGCGCAGCACCTGCAACCAACAAGTGCACACTTGCTCTTCTATACTCTTCTAAGCCCTGTGTAACCCTTCTAAATTCTGCACCCTCTATGCCCTTCTTACGTTTTGATACCCCTCTATGCCCCTCTTTACCTTTTTCTACCCCACTTCTAACCCCTCTATGCGCTTCTATCCTTACTATGGCGTTCTATGCCCTTCTCTTCACGTTCCTCCACCCCTCTTCCCCTTCTATCTTCGCCTGCCGCCAGGGATCCCTGTCAGTAGAGTCTAGACTACAGCTGCCCCTTTTCAGCAGCAGTGGCTGTAGCGAGTCACTTCCCAGGCCAATGGGTCTGGTCCGCCTTGCTTCTCCTGAAGTTCTTCCACCCCTCTCCCCCACTCCCTTCTCCCCCTCTTCTCCTCTTCCCTCTCCCCCTCTTCTCCTCTTCTCTCTTCTCCTCTTCCCCTCTTTCCTCTTCTCCTCTTCTCCTTTCTCAGGCTCTCCCTCCCCTAGGGGATCCCTGTCAGTAGACTACAGCTGCCCCTTTTCAGCGGCAGCAGCAGCGGCAACAACGCCGGGGCAGCAACAGCAGCAGCGGCGGGAGCAGCAATGGCAGCAGCGGCAGTGGAGGGGAGCAGGGTCGTCCTCGCAGGCCAATGGGTCTGGCTGCCAGCCGTCCTCCCTGCCGGGCTACACGTGCTCCGTGCAGCTCAGCAAGAACGCGTGAGTGTGACTAAACTCCTCTCAGCATCAGTCCATCCTTCATTCTGCATTCAAGCTTTCAGCACTAAACTCCTCTCACCATTAGCCGTTCTTCATTCTACAGTCACTGTTCCTTCCCCGTTCCTTCCCATTCCTTCCCATTCCTTACACCTGCTCTTAGAGGGTACAAATACTTGAACAAAAAACAACCCAGTATGCCTCATTCTAGTTAACGATTTCTACTCTAAGATGGTATCACGCGCTAGGTTTAGATCCTCCCCGCCACCCTGCGGTTCCGCTCTCGTCCTAGTCCTAGTCGCCCCGTAGGCTCGTTAGCGCCTCGTCGGCCCGTTAGCGCTCGTCGGCCGTTAGCGTTCGTCGGCCCCGTGCACCCCGTTGGCCAGTGAGCGCCCTGTCCGACCGTTTGCACCCTGTCGACCCTCGTGCGCCCTCTGGCCCTACTCGCCCACAGGCCCGTTAGCGCCCCGTCAGCCCGTTAGTTCCCCGTCGGCCCTGTGCGCCCCGTTGGCCCCGTTAGCGCCCCGTCGGCTCGTTAGTGCCCCGTCGGCCCGTAGTGCCCCGTCGCCCGTTAGCGCCGTGTCGGCCCCCGTGCGCCTCGTTGGCCCCGTTGCGCCCTCTGGCCTGCTCACCCGGCCGACCGTTAGCGCCCGTTGGCCTGTAGCGCCCTTTTGGCCCCGTTAGCGCTCCGTCGGACCCGTGCACCCCCTCTGGCCTGTTAACGCCCTGCCAGCCCCACTTGCGCCGTCTGGCCCCTGTGCGCCCGTTGGCCCCGTTAGCGCCCGTCGGCCCCGTGCGCCCCTCTAGCCCTGCTCACCCCGCCGCCGTTAGCGCCCTTCCCAGCCCGTTAGCACCCTTCCAGCCCGTTCGCGCCCCGTGAACAACATTAGCGCTCGTCGGCCTCGTGCGCCTCTCCTGCCTGCTCGCCCCGCCAGCCTGTTAGCACCCCGCCGGCCCCGTTGGCGCCTTACCGACCCCGCTAGCGCCCGTCGGCCCCGTGTGCCTCGTCGGCCTCTCGCCAGCCAGCCGGCCAGCTCCAGCCCAGCCGCCCCCCACTTTAGCGGCCAGCCGCCAGGCCGTAAAGTCACAGCGCCGACCCACCGGCTCTGGCTCCCTTCAGTGCCGGCTCCCTTACTGGCTCTCTCCACTGATCTCCCCCGCTCCCCACCGCATACACGCACTCCATCGTATTACACCGCACTCCACCACTCTCCACCGCACTCCACCGCTCTCCATCGCACTCAACCGCACTACACTGCACTCCACCGCTTGCTCTGCCTATCCTCTTCACCCTGTCAGCGGCCGTCAGCAGCAGCAGCAGTGGCGATGGCGGAGTCACAGCTCCGTCTGGACGCAGAGGGTCGGGCGCTTGACTTTGAGGCGTGGCTGGTCGACCTTCGACCGCCAGCTTACAGGTCAGCGCCAGGACGGTCAACCCCTGGCTGTTCATATTGATGGCCTGCTTTCCCTCCCCCTGCGCCTGCTGCCCTCCTGATGCCCCACGACTGCTGAGCGCGAGGCCTTTTCCGCTGTTGTGCTTGCTCGTGCTGTCTGGGACTCGCGCGACGCTGTCGCACAGCTTGCTATCAGCCATGCGCTACCGCTGTCTGAGCATTCTCGCTTTACCACTGTAGCAAACACGCAGGCCTTCTGTTACCCCCCTTTTGTTGCACTCCTCGTTGCAGGTTCTCACGGTCTGTTAACGATGGCAAAACAAAGGTGTTGCTGAAGGGAATTAATTCAATGATCTGGGCCTACTCCGATGGGTTTCAGACCCTCGCGCAGCACCTGCCAACCAACAAGTGGCACACTTGCTCTTCTATACTCTTCTAAGCCCTGTGTAACCCTTCTAAATTCTGCACCCTCTATGCCCTTCTATACGTTTTGATACCCCTCTATGCCCCTCTTACCTTTTTCTACCCCACTTCTACACCCCTCTATGCGCTTCTATACCTTACTATGGCGTTCTATGCCTTCTCTTCACGTTCCTCCACCCCTCTTCTCCCCTTCTATGCCTTCGCCTGCCGCCAGGGGATCCTGTCAGTAGAGTCTAGACTACAGCTGCCCTTTTCCAGCAGCAGTGGCTGTAGCGAGTCCACTTCCCAGGCCAATGGGTCAGGTCCGCCTTGCTTCTCCTGAAGTTCTTCCACCCCTTTCCCCTCTCCCCTTCTCCCCCTCTTGTCCACTTCCCCTCTCCCCCTCTTCTCCTCTTCTCCTCTTCTCCTCTTCTCCTCTTCTCCTCTTCCCCTCTTCTCCTCTTCTCCTCTTCTCCTCTTCTCCTCTTCTCCTCTTCTCCTCTTCTCCTCTTCTCTGGCTCTCTCCCTCCCCCCAGGGGATCCCTGTCTGTAGACTACAGCTGCCCCTCTTTCAGCGGCAGCAGCAGCGGCAACAACGGCAGCAGCGGCAGCAACAGCAGCAGCGGCGGGAGCAGCAATGGCAGCAGCGGCAGTGGAGGGAGCAGCGGGTCGTCCTCGCAGGCCAATGGGTCTGGCTGCCAGCCGTCCTCCCTGCCGGGCTACACGTGCTCCGTGCAGCTCAGCAAGAACGCGTGAGTGTGACTAAACTCCTCTCAGCATCAGTCCATCCTTCATTCTGCATTCAAGCTTCTCAGCACTAAACTCCTCTCACCATTAGCCCGTTCTTCATTCTACAGTCACTGTTCCTTCCCCGTCCCTTCCCCATTCCTTCCCCATTCCTTCCCCTCTCAGTCTGCACGTGCTCTTCTGCCCTCTGCTCTCCTATGCTCTCCTCACCTCGCCTCATGTCTCGTCCCCCTCAACTCCTGTCTCGTCCCCCTCAGCTACACCCTCCACTGGGCTGTGAATTAAGACAGCACAGTCAGCATGGCAGCGCAGGTCGCCACCACGGGCTTCGTAGGCCAACGGGGCGGCAGTAGGGGTGTATTTCTTGGGTGGGCGTGACGTGGGGTCGGTTCAGCTGACTGACACGTGGAGCATTACAAACACTTGGGTTACGACTTCTAATGGATACACTACAATGGTGTAAGACTATTTTGATGTCGCACTGCTGTTCTCCCTAGAAGAAAATTGGCGTGTGGCATTATAGTGAGGTAAACTTTTGGCTTCCCCCCCTCGTTAGGGAAGCCTTCGTCCTCCCTAACCCCTCCCTCCTCCCCCCAGGTTCACTCGCAGCATGGGCATGGGCCACGTGCCCATCGATGCTTCGGCCCCACCACCATCATCTGGGCCTACTCGCCCGACGGTTCCATGGCTCTCGCTTTCCACGCCAGCAACTTGTAAGCGATAAGATGGCATGGGATGGCATACAGTACAGTATTGTAGCATGGCATGTGCCCGCACCACCATCATGGGATGGCATACAGTACGGTATTGTAGCATGGCATGTGCCCGCACCGCCATCATGGGATGGCATACAGTACGGTATTGTAGCATGGCATGTTCCCGCACCACCATCATGGGATGGCACACCGTAAGGTGAGGTAGCATGGCGGGGTAGAATGTGCAGCCCCTCTTCTCTCTCCCCTCTCCTCTCCCCCCTCTTCTCTCTCCCCTCTTTTCTCTCCCCTCTTCTCTCTCCCCTCTTCTCTCTCCCCTCTTTTCTCTCCCCTCTTCTCTCTCCCCTCTTCTCTCTCCCCTCTTCTCTCTCCCCTCTTTTCTCTCCCCTCTTCTCTCTCCCCTCTTTTCTCCCCCCTCTTCTCTCTCCCCTCTTCTCTCTCCCCTCTTTTCTCTCCCCTCTTCTCTCTCCCTCTTCTCTCTCCCCTCTTCTCTCTCCCTCTTCTCTCTTCCCTCTTCTCTCTACACTCTTCTCTCTCCCCTCTTCTCTCTCCCCTCTTCTCTCTCCCCATTCTCTCTCCTCCACCATCATCTGCACCGATTGGTCCGATGGCTCCACCTCTCTGGTTGGCCACCGCAGCAACTAGTGAGTCTTGGTGTGGTGCACGGTTGTATGCATGACATGAGGCAATTTGACATGACATTAGATTCTATACATGGCATCAGGTTATCTACATGCATTAGATAATATTCATGGCGTTCGGTGATATGCGTGGCATTATATCAAAATTTCATATTCTTTCCCCTCATTTCCCCCTCCCCCATCCTTTCCCCCCCCCTCCCTCGTCTTCTCCCTGTTCTCTCTACCACCAGCGGGTCAGCCTCAATAGACTTCGTGAAGGGCACATCGACCGCTGGCCAGGGCAGCAGCACAGCGGCGTATATCGCCCACGGGGTCCTCCTCGCCCTCGCCTTCGCCCTGCTCATGCCCCTCGCCATCCTCCTTGCCCGCCTCCTCCTCGCCGACCGCCCCCACGGGGCCCTCCTCAACCTCAACAGCGGAAAGGACTTGCGGCCGCTGGGGTTTCAGCTGCACCGGGGGATTCAGCTGTCGGCTCTAGTGGTTGCAGTGGCGGGGATGATTGTGATATTCGTGCAGGCGGGCTCCAAGGGGCTCAGCTGGACGCATGGGCAGGTGGGGCTGGCGGCGGTCATTCTCGCACTGCTGCAGGCCGTGGTGGGGTTCATACGGCCGGACAAGACCGCACCGAACCTCTTCAAGTGGCTCATGGCGCACTGCATGATCGGAGCCACGAAAATTGCGCTCGCGTAGACGGCGATGTTTCTGGGTATCGCCTTGTATCACACCAAGTTTATGGAAAACGTCACGATGAGTTGTTCGGAATGTGTGCGTGGTTTTCTGCCTCTTCTGCATTCCAGGCGAGTGGTGCGGTGAAGTGTGCAAGTAAAAGGGGTGATTTAGAGGGAGGGGATTCAGATGTGTTTCCGATTTTATGGATTCAATCGTCCGTATACAACTTTGTGGCACGGTGTTACCACCTGTTTTCATGTTCCTTTCACTATTTACAGAGCATATATTTGTACATCCAATCCCATGTCTTTCTTCCTTTCCCTTCCTTCCCTTGTGCAGTGGTGCTACTGGGTTACTGGCATCTGTGTCAGCACGTTCGGGTTCATGTATCTACTCTTGGTTATCCCGGACAGCATCCTTTCTTCCATGAAGCTGAAGGAACACTGCATTGCTGGGAAGGGTACAGCTGGTGGTGTGTGACTCACTGGGATTGCCGGCTAATTTTTTTTTTTTTTAATGTGGGTGGAGACCTTGCATGGGTGCGAGAGCATGATTGTTTTCTGTTTTTCTTGTAGATTATGTGTTAGATTGTCGAGAGTATAGTGGGACTAAGGGAAAACAGCGAGGGTTACAAAGGTAGGACATGTACCCTCTAAGATCTGACCTAGCTAAGGCTATAACAAATACAAACTAGCTAGCCTAGATAATTATACCGTATTCCCCTGGATAAAACACCCACGGGTGACACTAAATTTTGATGCAAATTTTAGTGGGGGTGGAATAAGTGGCACTTTTTGTATAACGCCCGGGGGCTATGGAATGACAATTTTATGTTTATGAACTGGAATTGAACTGTGTTGTAGACAGTTCTTTTGTGCCGAATTTTGACGATTGCACGTGATCGCGTATATGGTGAGGACTATCGTCATGCCACGTTGCAGGCAAACAGTCATAGGTTGCCTGCATCACAGGTTGTCACGTTCTGTCAAATCGTGGTGGCAAGTGGCAACCTCGATGCCACAATGTGACAGCGCACCAAAGCTGGAAGGAATCTGCTGCAGATTCCTTCACGACCCAACCAGGGCTGACCGGCATGGATTCTCCCGCACTGCAAAGTGTTGACTATGAGGAGCGTGTTCCCATGAGCCTCGTACAGTATCAGACTCACAACATTCGCCTGAGTGACGCGAATTCCAAGCATGGTAACAGTTCTACACCGCATTGAACCACTTCACATCGAGCTTGCACTGCTCAGTGACGCGCGAGTCTGATAAGAGACACTCTGATACGAGGCAAAATCTACAGAAATCCATTGAAAATGAACCAGGGGGGTGGTGTATAGGTTTCATGCCAAAAACTAGGGTGGTATGAATATCCTGTTTAATAAAGCATCCAGGTCCGCCCAAACCACCCATGGGTGATTAATTCCGGCGGGTGTTTTATGTGGGGGAATACGGTACTTGTTGACACACACCCTAGTCGAGATAATGCCAGTTCATAACAAAGAAAAGTACACCAGGGCAGCACTACTATTTTGACCTTCGGTGAGAGTACCGTAAAAGCCCGGATAGAAGACCCCCTAGTAATAGAAGACCCAGGGTCTTCTTCTAGGCGTCTATCTTCTATTCGGAATTCCCGTTAATAAGACACCCTCAAGGCGGTATGAGATAAGACCCCCCCTTCTGTAGTGTTTTTTATTCCTGCGAAGCAAGAACTGGGTCTCCCACAAACGAGTTTTATTGACTGAGACGATGAACGATTGGGATTAAGCCCGAGCGGGGTCTTGTTGCAGGCATTCGCATCTTCATCACACGTGTTTTACCGTCACAATTGACTTCCGCAAAATTTCCCCTTATCGCTGAATCCTCATTATCAGATTACTCGATATGTTTTGGTTCACTTCTCGGGCCCTTTTTCCAATGAACTTATGAGGGTTCCGTTTATAAGATACCCAAATGCCCCATTTTTTTCCGTTTATAAGATCAAATGCAGTTTTGAATGGTGTTATGTGATAAGACACATAGGTCTTATATCCGGGCTTTTATGGTAATAAGAAAACTCAGGGCAGCACCACTAGTCTGACCATTGAGACAAGAGGCCACAAGGCCAGTCAGCAAGGGTAGCAAGACAAGCAGATATCGAACAACACGTACATAAAGGTATAGTATGACTTAGGATACAAGGAAGTGGTGCTGCTATTGAGGCTAGACCAAGCTGAGTACAGAACCGCTGATGGTCACGAGGCGCAAGTGCCTTGGTGAAGATATCAGAGGTGTTGGCCTCTGAGGCCAACTGTACTACACGACCCTGACCGCGCTGCTGCAACTCTTGCAGCAGGAAGTACCGCAGCTGGATGTGCTTCACCCTGCCCTCAAGTCGAGCCTCCTGACACAAGAGGATCATGGCCCTGTTGTCAGCAAACAGGACCGGGGCACACCTAGGCTGCTCACCTAAGTCAGTGAGCAAGAATGTCAGTCAGCGGAGCTCCTGAGCGGCAATGGCCCCTGCGTAGATCTCTGCCTCACAACTGGACAAAGCTACAGACAACGGCATGGTGGACCTCCACGAGACTACACCAGTACCAAGACTAAAGCAGTAGCCCTGAGACGACCTGAGCATCTCCAAGTCGCCGGCCCACGACGTGTCTGTGTGTCCAGTAAGCACCACTGGCTCCCGTCTGTTATAATCACAATAGGCTTAGATGTGCCTATAATGAGAGATAGAGAGCACAGTCGGATTTCTGTCAGACGGCTTCAAATACTGATAACGATCTGGTCACTGAATCAAACGGTGATGTGTAAATTGGATCTGGAGCGTGTTGCTGTCGTCTATCAGCAGCAAGTTGAATCATGAAATTCCATGAAGATTTGACGACGCTATGGCGGTTTGACTGGCAGGAGGTATAGCAGCCACAATAGTCTTAGGAGTACAAACTTAGCAAGAAGAGTTCGAGAGGGAGATGGTTCCCAGCCTCTACATACCCCAAGAGCCGAGGTCCAGGTTGGTGGTACACCACCACAGGGTCCCCAACCATGAAGAGTCTCGAAACCAACCCTCCAAGGGGCTACACCAAGTGAAATGTAACACTACACGAAGTAACGTTACTATTTTCACTATTTAATATTTATCCGCGTCCCTTGGGCTTGAAATCTTGAGCTCTTGTTCCTGGATCTGCAAGATAAATTCTTCTTGAGTTGATGGGGGCTTGCTGCACACACCTGCGACACGATCGACACTTCACACTCGACAAAATAGAAAAAACACATGCGACACACAAACGACGACTTGACATGCGAGTTGTAAAAACTTGCTAATGTCTTGACCGACACAAACCACATTGTGATACACCATTCAAACACACACACAAGCACTGGATAGCAATGACATAGACTCACAATTCATTCCATGCCATGCATGCACACACACAAACAAGGACGACAAGCCGAGTGCAAGCCATAGGGTTGCACCAACAAACTCCCCCTCGGATTGTTGGCCTTAGAATCTGCTCCCCTTAGTTCAGAGCCATCCCAGCAAGCTTGCAACACTTCCAATGCTGCTGCTCAACCAGCCTCTTGGTCATCATATCAGCTGGCTGCGCCGTCGTCTTCACGTAGTGCAACTCCACTTCACCCGCGGTTACCATGCTCCTCACCCAATGCCACTTCACCTTCATGTGCTTGGTAAGGCCATGAAGAACGGGGTTCTTAGCCAATGCAATAGCACCCTGGCTATCACAGTAGAGTGGGGTAGGTCCTTGCTGCTCCTCCCCCAATTCAGCTAGCAAACGCCGCTGCCACACAACCTCTCTTATGGCACGGAAGAGTGCCATGTACTCGGACTCCACCGAGCTCAATGCTTGGTCCACTTGCTTCTTGCTCTCCCAAGCTGTTGGCCCTCCACCAACACAGCAGATGAAGCCTCCCACACTTGTCATGTCCTCTGGTTCTGATGCCCAAGATGCATCAGAGAAGGCGGTGAGAAAAAGCCTCCCGGGTTCGACTCCATCCGCACCCTTTTGACGCCTTTGTGCCGCCGCGGAGTATTGCAGTCCAACAGTTGCTGTTTGGCCAAGGTACTTGGCCACTCTCTCTCCAGCTGCTACCTGCTCTTCATTAGGGCATTGGACAACCCTAGCCAGCTGCCCGGTAGCAAAGGCTGCATCCGGCCTTGTGTGAACGGCCGCATACATGAGGCTGCCCACCAAGGAGTGAAAACGGCGCCTCTCCTCTTCACCAACACTTTCCTCCGCTGGTCCTTTCACACACTTGAACCCTGAGGGAAGAGGAGTAGCCACATGACCTTCACTCTTCCCAAAGTTTGCAGCCAAGGCCTCCAAGTACTTCTTTTGATGCACTCGCATCCACCGCTTCTCCACATCTCGCTCAATGTGAAGCCCAAGGTAGTAGTTGACGTCACCAAGGGTCTTGCACTTGAACTTGTCTTGAAGCTTCAGCATCACCTCCTTCACAAGGTCAGAGGAGGGTGAGAATATAAGGATGTCATCCACATAAACCACCATGAAGCTCCTCTGCTCCCCCTCGCCAAGCATGAACAACGATTGATCGGCCGTTGAGGGAGTGAAGCCGATCGCCTCCAAAACTTCCCGCAGCTTGATGTACCATTGCCTAGGGGCTTGCTTGAGGCCATAGAGTGCTTTCTTCAGCTTCCACACTCTGCCACTCCCATCATTGTACCCCTCTGGCTGCTCCATGTAGGTTTCTTCCTCCAAAACGCCGTTGAGGAAGGCCGTTACGATATCCATTTGCTTCACCACCCATCCTTTGATGGCCGCCGCGGCGAAGAGGGTTCGAAGGGTTGTACCCTTCACCACAGGAGCATACACTTCATTGTAGTCCTTCTTCTCTTGCTGCTGATACCCCTTGGCTACAAGTCTGCTCTTGTAGCGCTCGATGTTGCCGTCGGCGTCGGTCTTGCGCTTGAAGAGCCACTTGGAAGAGATCGCCTTACGCCCCGGAGGTAGGTTCACCAAGTCAAACGTGTCGTTCTCGATGATGCTCCCCATTTCTTCATCTGAGGCCTTCTTCCACTCCTTCCCATTGGGGCCCTCCCAAGCCTCCTTGGGATTTGTAGGCTCCCCCGGCATCTCCACCGGAGAGAAGAAGGCAAAGGCGCACTCCTCGCTTTCATCTTCCGCATCATCGCCTAGCATGAGAGCCGAACCGGTCAAGGTTGAGTTGGCTGGTCTTCCAAGCCGATCATAGCTCAACCTATTAGGGGGCTGAGTTCTCCTTCTCCCCCTTCCTTCCTCCTCTGCTGCAGGGACTTGAATGCTCTCATGGCATTGCGGTAAATCTGGTCGGTTCCCACGAGCACTTGTAGCACGAGGCGGAAGTGACGGTGCACGCTCATCACCTTGCTGCACCTCCTCCTCCTCTTCATCCCCATTCATTTGAGGAGATTGCCTCGTGACTGTGCTGCTGCTACTCAGCTCCAAGGGCAGCTCCACATGCTCCAAGCCGTTACTCTTCACCTCTCCAAGCCGCATACCAATCTTCGCTTGGTTCTCCGCCTTCCACTCCTTGTACGGTAAGTTCTCCATGAACTTGCAATCTCTGCTCACCAAGAACTTCTTGGTAAATGGGTCCCAAAGAAGCCATCCCTTGCTGTTTTGAGCCATGCCCAGGTGCACGGCCCATGTTGCCTTGGCATCAAGTTTGTTGTGCCGAAGTTTCTTAGGCACAAGTGCCATGCACATGCACCCGAACACCCGAAGCATATCCACCTTCGGCTTCCTTCCAATCCACTCCACATAGGGCACCCATTTGTCTTCTCCCACATGAGTCAAGGCTCTGTTCTTGGCCACACAAGCATGCCGCACCGCATCCGGCCAAAAGTAATTGGAAAGACCGGCTTCAATGAGAAGTCCCCGAGCCGTCTCCGTGAGTGTCCGATTCGCACGCTCGGCGATGCCGTTCATTGCAGGAGAGTAGGGCATGGTAAGAGAGTGCCTTATGCCCTGCTTCTTCAGCCAAGTTGAGAAATCCTTGCTCAGGAACTCTCCCCCACGGTCAGTGCGAATCGCCTTCACAAGTCGGTCTTGTTGCCGCTCCACCATCGGCAACCAATCGGTCTTCACCGTTTCAGCTACGTCACTCTTCTTTGGCAGCACATACACCCAAGTCATGCGAGTGTAGACGTCCACAATGGTGAGGAAGTACGCAGCTCCAGCAGCTCCAAGCTTCAAGGGGCCCACCACATCCATCACCACCTCATCAAGTGGTGCCTTCGCCGTTGTCTCCGAGCTATGGAACGGGTAGC